GGGGGGGGGGGATTTCCAAAAGAACATTACTGTCCAAATAAATTTGTAGCTGATAAATGAATCTAAGCTGAGTAAATTGAATGATGTCACAGAGGCCACTTCTGACTCCAGTAACCCAAATGGATCAGGAACACTCAAAAACCATTCATTTGATTCTTCAGGGGAATACCAAGGGTGCCCCACCAACACGCATAGAACACGCTAACCCTCACTTCACACCATGTGCAACTTATTCGTTCCAAAAAGAAAATGAACTTTAAACTATTGTTAATTTATAATCAGACAGAAAGTGAGCAAATAAATTCAAACTACTGAAACAATCAATTTCAGTCAAGTTCAACTTTTCTTAAAAGTAGTCTATTTCAACAAATAATTGCTAAAATTAATTGTAACTCAGATATGTAGAAAGTGCAGCTGTTTGATACTTCTAAATAGAAATAGTGCTCATTTCAACTTGTAAAAAACCAAAAGTAATAATGAGTCAATTACCCTCCCAGTAAATATTTTTGTTTAGAATCGGTGAAGTGTCTTATCTGATTCCTGCTTTGCTCAAAATAACTCCTTTATTTAAATGGTTGTATGATAATTTAGGAGGGGTATGATGGCTCAGCAGTTAAAAACATTGAGTTTTTCAGTTGGAAAGCTGACAGAGTTTAAGATCCAAGCACCATGCAACGGAGTGACTCCTGTTATTTGCCCCTGCTTCTGCCCATCTAGCCATTCGAAATAATACAAATGTGAGTAGATAAATAGGGACCATGTTGATGGGAAGGTAACAGTGTTCTGTGCACTTCAGGGTATATTCATGCTGACCAGATGATCACGGAGATGTCTGTGGACAACGCTGGTTCCCTTGGCTAAGAAACAGAGATGAGCACTACCCCCTACAGCTGAACACGATTGGACGAGGGAAACCTTCATGATAGTTTAAGCTATCACGTTTCCCCGAAAATAAGACCTGGTCTTATTTTTTTTTGCCACCAAAAAAGGCACCAGGTCTCATTTTGGGGGGATGTCTTCCACTAACTCACCTTGCAGTGGTGGCAATGGCTGCCCTGCCCAATAGGAGCCCGCTGCCACCCCTTCTGCGGCCACTTGTCGCTGGTTGTGCTCTGGATCCGTTATTGGCTGCGGACGCTTTTCCTGAGGGCTTCTGATGGCAAAATGGTGACTGGGGGCGACGCACATGTCAATCCGGACCTTGTTTCTTAGCTGCAGAGGCCTTTCCTGAAAACTTCTGACAGCGAAACTGAGGCCAGGGGTGATGCATGCAAGTGGCAGCAAGTGGCTGCAGAAGAAGTGGGCTGGCAAGGCAAGGCAGGTGTCAGAGTGTGTGAGGCCCGGCTGCAACTGTTTGAAGGTAAATAGTAGGGAAGCTCCACCCCTCCATCCCCACCCTAGCTTAATTTTTATCCATGCACCGCAGAGTGGGCAGGGTCTTAACTAGGACTTATTTTGGGGGGTAGGTAGGGCTTATATCAGGCGCTCGTGTAAAAATCAAGCTAGGCCTTATTTTTTGGATAGGCCTTATTTTGGGGGAAACATAGTAGTAAATATTACTAGGTCTGCTAGCTCTAACATCTCTTTGCTGGTGCACTTCTTAGTAAGGCTTCATAGATTCCAAACAGATTTACTCACAAATTAATTAAATGGTAAATGCAAATCTATAATTTTGCCATAAAGGCAGTGGGGATAGTTAATACCTGCATTGTTGAACTCTCTTTTATTGCTTCAAGTGTAGGGGGAAAAAATCTCTTTTCTGGGTTATCTTGAAACTGTCCCTCTTAAAAAGAATTATATACATTTCTTGTTTTCTCTTCTTCCCATTATTTCAGGACACAGGCCTCAGCGAAGGCTTCATATTAGCCAATGTTGCAATTTGACTGCTTTATTTTCTACTTGCTCCATGTTTACCAAGAACTCCCAGAGGAATAAAGAAAGACCAGAGTGCTTACCGTTGTAGTCGTTTAGCACAGAGCCGTTGGATCTCTTTTTGTTGCTTTGCTGAAAGGGGAGAAGAAATGCTGCTGGCATTCAGATTCTGGAACTGAATAATAAATATTTTATTTTAAACTACGTTACACGTTCTTTGTAAAACAGTCTTCTATTCACCATAGATATATGGCCATTATTTAAAAAAACCCTATGGAAAAACTAAATTCATCTAATTCAATATGTTGTATGCCATTCTAACATGTCACCATGGTATGATGTCATCCAGAAACACTGGACTTTTTACATATGTTGATGTGTCTCCTCCCCATAGAGAAATTATGGAGGTGGCCTTGAAGAAGGAATTCAGCCACCATTACATAAACTTCACCTTAGCCCAGATGGTTTTTTCCCTTTGGGGTGATGGTGGTGAAGGATGAACTAACATCAACAAAGGAGAATAGCAACAATTTCAGTACTGTAAATTCCTTTCAAGGTCATACTGCTTCTAAACGTGATTGGCTCATAATAATTGGTATGGTAGATAAGCAGTACACCAGTGTAATTTCCCCTTTTAAGTAAACACTGGCAAAAAAAGAGGTTCAAAGCTGGCAATGTGAAGGCTGACAGAGGATAAAATTTCTCATCTACTGTACAAGCCTGCCAATGCTCAAGTCTAACTGACTGTTCAATACAGAAATCTAAATTAAAAGCGTATTTGACAGATGCCTCTCCAGCATCCAATGAAGGGAAATTCAGTGTTGGCATAAATGGCCCCACTAACAAATTGCTCTATCATTTCCTTTAAGCAGAATAACTCATAAAGGCTAACTTTCATTAAATTAATTATAAACACTGATGGTACTTTGACCATGAAGAGTAAGAAAAATAGGTAATTACCTTAATTATTTTACTCTTCTGTGTTTCCTAATTCAATTTCTGTCTTTCATCAATCCTCTTCCAAATGAAATATTTTTGGTCATATTTTACAAATTTTCCCCAAAAATCTAAATCAGTATCTACCTTCTTGCAACTTAAATTTATTATTTAGTATACCATACTGAGACAAAGCAATATAATTAATGCTAAATATCCATATTAACAAATATATTCAGTGGGAAATGATAAAATCGCAGAGTTGGAAAGCATTATTTTAAGCCATCATATCCAAATTCCCGCTCAGTGCAGAAATCCAAATTAAAAGCATCTCTAAAAGACGGCTGTTCAGTCTCTGCTTGAACACATTCAGTGACATCAGTGAAATGAAATTTATTAGCTATATAAAACTGTATGCAGGTTATTTATTTTTATTTGTTAAATATTTATGTTGCCCATCTTCCCCTATAAGGTGACTATTTATTTTCGTGGGTTTCTTAAGATATGAAGGTAGTTTTTAATCCAAACACCATTTTATGAAGAAATTGCACTTTACATATGCTAAGCTACTTGGGACACAGGTAGGATTAAGGCTAGAAAATCTAATTACTAGAAAATCCTTTTTATGAAAATCTCTATTTACCAAAACACTTATAGCTGGTGACAATGCTAAAAATGTCAGTATCCAAAAAAAAAGTTAGTGTCTAAAGTAGAAGAAAAGGAAGTAATAAACACTTTAATAATGCCAAAAATGATATTGCTGCAGTTGGCTGAGAAAGCTATAAATGTAGGGAAAAAATGTGGAACACGGTACATGGAAATGATAGAAACAATGATGTGAATAGACAGAAAAGTAGGGAAGTAGGAGTGAATAATGTTGGTGTAAATTAGCTTCAGCTGTTGTCTTTTCTTACTGCATGCCTTCAGTGTAACTATTTATTTTTCTTCTCGGCACTCTGAATATTACTTCCCCCCAAAGGGAATAGTGAGATGAGTGTTCATGTTCTTCTAACTGCTGATTAAAGCTAATTTCTAGTTATGAAGCAGGAGTAGGAGGTTAGCCATTATATTCTATGGCAAATGAAGACACAATATACATCTGCTGTACTTAATAATCAAGAAAAATATATAATGCCATTGCAAACAGCGAACATTTCCATGTACTTTGACAGCACAATTCTTTGGAAGCCCGCCTGTAAGCTACAATTTGCCTGCAAGAAGCGCTGCTTATCTCATAGGGAGATTTGTTATGGGCCAAAGCACAGGTAAAATTGATCCTGAGAGATCCATTTTGATGCTCGGCACACACATATACATATTATATTAGATCATCCAATTCTGGACTGAAAATATTTGGACAACCATCACAGTGTAGCAGAGATACAGAAAAAATATTAAAAATATATATTTCAGTCACTGCATTGTATTGATCTGTAGCTTTACAAATCTAGTACTATAGCTCTACTTTCACCCATTGCACTTAACTGTTTTTGATCCCAGGACATGAGAAACAATATATTCAGAGGATGTCTGTGCTTCTGGGATATTGTTTGCCTCAAACACGCCTTGCCAATACTTGACCACATCAACAGCTGAGACCAAATTGTTTTTATAATAAGAGGAATTTCTCAGAAGTCTGTGCCAGGGATTTAGAAGAGTATCTTCAATTCGATTCATTCTAAAATATCCATGGTAAGAGAACAGACATAAAACCTTCCTGTAAAAAACACTACTAAAAGGTGTCATTGCTTTAGAAAATATCAGTTTTTAGGTACAAGCACTGATTCTCCTTTGCAGGTCTATTGCGGGGCCTCTGCCAGTAGTCTGGTGTAACAGTATACATCTCCAAGGTACAATATTCTTCGGAACTCAGTGTTTTTGTAGAGAAGAACATCAGTGTCAGATTCAAATGCCATCTTGTCCTAGTAGTACACTAAGAGATGGAGAGATAAACAAATGAATCTTCTCAAATTCAAAACAGGTTTACTTTGCATAGGAAAAAATAGAACATTACAGTATCATATATTATGTCAACATGGGATTTTTTTTTACAACTGTATCTCTAGCCATGTTCTTCTGAGTGTGCACCACTCAGGTAGCAAAGTTGGTTTCAATGAATACAGCACATTAAAATCCCCTTCACTTTTCAAATAATTTCATACACAGATACAACTCTCACAGACACATTATATATTATATGAAGTGACTGTCAATTGTTGCTTCTCAATACACTTAGGCTAACTTTTTTGTTGTTAACCTGTACACTATAACTTCTAAATGTTCACACACACACACACATCCCATTTTAATATCATAATATTTTAATTCTACAAGATCAATTATGGTGAAATAAAATCAAGCATGATCAGCTCTAGCAAATTGCTTTTGAACCTTGGCAGTGCATCTCTTTTGAATCCAATGAGATAAACAGATTTGCTACCCTGTGCATAATACTTTATGCTGCATATAGTGTGTAAGTACACTGCTGAACTGAGCATGTGACGAATCTTCACCGTAATCACATAAGACTGTTATTTATTTAATCATAGACGGCTGCATAAACAAAAATCAGAGCCAGACACTAAGCATTATTTCTGAATCATAACAGATATTCACATAATATCCAAGAAATCACATCATACTTGAAACAAAATTGAGTCTCCTAGCTGAACAGGGTTTGACCAGACGAAAAAGGAAGCTTCTCCCTTGTATTTTCCTCATCCTTAAAGGGCAGTTCATTTATTCCATTAAAAAAAATATTACTTATCCTTTTTCCTCATTAATTTGCATGGAACTTATAAAATCTGTTAAATAAATTGTTTATTACAACGGGAGGTCCCAAAGGTGCTTTTTCAAGAAGCAACTGGACTTTCTGGTTTCTCTTTGAAGACCTTTCCTTTCTCATTCAAGAAGCTTCTCAGAAGCTAAACGTCTTCAAAGAAAAAACCAGAAAGTCCCCTTGGCTCTTGAAAAAAAACACCTTTGGGACAACCATGACCTGGATGACTGAGAATCTCCACAGACATTACAACGGGACCTACAATTATACAACATTAATCTGAATCCACTTAATCTTTCGTCATAAACTTTTTGAACCTTTACTAAGAATCCATCCACATTTTGAAAAATTGCTGGCCTTCGCACAGTATTTGCAAGTATACAACTGACCAAAGTATGCGAAATCAAACACAGACGCCTTCCTTAATGCGCAATTAAAAGAAAGACTATACACCAAAGAGAGGGGGGGGGGGGTTCTTTCAGATACGAGGATGGGCACGACAGAGACTTTCAGCTTTTACCTGTAAAAAGGGAAAATGCAAGTCTGCGTCGGATGGTGGAGATCAGATGCACGAGAGGGAACAACTCTTCCGGTGCGAGCGGCAAACGCTTCAACTCGGCTGCCAACAGCGCCATTGAAGCGAGGTTCCTAGGGAGCCAAAGCTCCACCTTCCAAAATGCCTTTTTTTTTCGGAGCGCGTTGAACGAGGCAAGGGAGACGCCGCGTGGAAGCCGGAGGTAATTCTGCTAAAGAAGTTCAGGATTACGAAAAACGGACGCCACCTTTGAATCGAGCTCGAGCCTTGTCGGCTTCATCGGTGATTTTCTTGGCAGAAATACAGTACACAAATGGCCCTAAAATTACATTTTAATGTATACCGATTAGTGTACATTTCAATTGTACAATAAAGTTACTTTAAGTCTAAGTCATATATTTATTCCCACCCTAAATTATCCTGTAATTTGTTTGGCTGGATTCAGACTAAACCCATCCTCCCCGCCCCCAGTAAATCGTTAATAAGCACGCTATCGATAAATGTGATCCGGCGTCTTATTTAGCAAAACATAAAACGAACAAAATCATGGCTTGGCAATGTGCATAGTAGACTCAATCCTGATCAGATATCATGTTTTAAACCTTGTTTAGTCTTATCCGTGAACTAGGACGACCTTGTCTTAAACCCTTTTCTAATGACGTTCATTATAGTGCCGAACTTCATCGAAGTAATGATTTCTTATAAAGTAATTTGCCAGTCGAAAAATTGGATGGGTGGGTGGGTGCAGTAAAGGAGCAGAAATGCATTTCTCACGTCCATCACGCGAGCGATTTTATTAAGTACATCTATGTCCCGCACCTTGAACATAATGTAGATGCCCGATTTCCCAAAGGTTGTAAAAATCATCGTCTTTTCGTAAGGGGCGTGCATAAGCGCACAATCATGCCTACCGTCCCTGTCCTATTGTCCCCAATTATTAGTTCCTATTTCTTATATTTAAACTTATGGTTATTCTTGTTTCTGTTGTATTGCAAGCTTCTGACAAATAAATCAAATAAATAAATAAATAAAGGATGGTGGGTTCATTCCAACAAAGGAGGCACAGGAAGGGAATCCTCGGGAAGTGGCCCACAAGCACCCCTAATAAATAAGGCCGTGCACCTCCCAAGCTACCACTTTCCCCTGCCCGAGCCCCGCAACGCTCCTTCGGCTGAGAAACCAACCTGGACCACATAAATCTCACTTTGCATTCCCGGACTTCGGAACTTGCCAGCAGCCATCCTCCTCTTTCTGAGTGACATGCCGAGCGGCCCAATCCTTAACCAAAGCGCCGTCCTGCGTTAGCCAATCCCGGGGAAAGGAGAGATCAAAGCCGGAGATTAAGAGGGGCAGCGGCAGAAACGGGGTGAGGCTGCTTTGTAGCATCTTGGAAAGCACAATGGCCCGTCAGGCCGTGCCAGCACCCCGGCAGCTATTCATTCCTCTCCGATGCAGGTAATCCGAATTGCAGCAAAGCGGTAGAAACCCCCAGGCAGCCCAGCCTCCAGCAAAACAATCCGATTATTGCTGTCCCTTCGGACGGCCATTGAAAGCCTGCTTTAGTGAAAGAGGGCCCGGCCAGAGTCTTCCACTCCCCGGGACACGCATCCCCGCAACCCATCCTCCTCGCTTGATTCAGTAGTCGGTGTCACTCCTTAAGTTATAGGCGGGGAGTGAGTCTCAGGCAGGCTCTCTCTTTCCGAAGCTTCCAAAAACCATGAAGGGATTAATCCGGGGGCTGTGGGGAGAAGGGTTCCTCTCTTCCCAGTGTGACAGCGATCTTGGCCTGGGGATATTTTCTCAATCTAAGGTGAACCCCTGAGACAAGGACAGGGCTTAATTCCTCTTCGCCTAGGCATGATCTCAGTAGGTGCTGATGTCCCGGGCTGAGCTGGGGATAGGCAAGGCAAGCCAGCAAGGAGTTGAGGGCATGGGTGGGAACAGAGCAGGCCATAGGGAGCAGGAGAAGCTGTCACCTTGAGCAATAAAGGGAGGACAATCCCCTGCATTCTGCTCTGGGGCTGTCCTCCCCCTCCTCCCAAGCTGTTGACTCCAAGTTTCTTTCTTTACCTCCTGCCCTGTCAAATCACAGCCCTGGGAAAGAAGAGAGATGCTAGATTTGGTTCAGGTCAGGACTACTTCCCTCTGCAGGCATTACAATAAGGAAAATTCCTTTTCCTTGGGTGGAAAGTCTGAGCGAGGCCTGACTAAGCAGCCAAAGGCAGTTTTTTAGCAGCACTTTAGGGATTAGACTGGACTGTTCTTTTAAATGACTCTTACCCAGTCTGCCTGCAGCAAAACTGATCTGATTAGCAAGAGAAAGAAAGATATAAACTTGGTCATGATCAGCTCTTGGCATGTTTGTTTGAGCCACAGAGGGATTTGCATGTTGGGAAAAACTAGTTAAGACAAATTGTCCAAATTACCTCTTTTGTTTTAGAGTTTACCACTTTCCTAGTATTAAAGTGCCTAAATTGAGTTAGTTTTGTGGATCTTAAATAAAGGCACACCAAAGGCAATGCTTATAAGTGATTGCTAAGTAACTCTAACCATATCTGTACAGTACAGTGGTTGAAAGGTTTGAACTAGCATTGACTTCTGTGAGGAGAGATGTTGCGATCGTAGTTCAAAGTTCTGTGAATATGTCAACATGGTTGACAGCTGCAGTGACAACACGGGAATGAAAATGTTTAGATAACAAATATGAAGAAATAAATATAAAATGTAACCAAGGCTACAATATCATCCACAATACCATCACATGCTGGCAAAATAGTGCTTAGATCATTCAGTAAACATTAGAATCTTATATGGAAAGGGAGATGCTGGTTTTGGAAAAGGCTAAAGAACAAGAAACTTAATGCTGATGCAAGAAAACATACAAAAGGGAAGGTAGCATGTGTTCCTAGAAAGTCCCTCAGTTGTGTCAATCATGCCAAACTGTAGAGTGTCTTTTGGAAAATGGGAATTCCAGAACATTTCATTGTCCTCATGAGAAATTAATCCACAAGATAAGAAACCATAGTGCAGACAGAAAGTGTGAAACAGATTGTCTCTTGGGTCTATGATTAAATAAAAACTAATAACAACAGATAACATTGAATCAATCAAGCAGTCAAGAAATTATCACAGGGTAGCCTTGGAAAAGATATTTCAAGCTATGACGTGTTTAGTTTAGTTTATTGTCATTGCACCTCATACAAAGAAATCAAACACCATCTTCAGTGCACATCATGACCATGAAAATAAACACAAACACACATCTTTCACACTCCACACATTGAATTGAACCCCCCACCACCACCACCACATCAACACTGCACTATACAGTAAAATTCAACAGAGTTACTGCCCTGGGATAGAAGCTGTTTTTCAGCCTATTTGTCCTTGTTTTTATTACTCTGTACCGTCTGCCAGATGGTAATAGTTCAAAAAAAGGGTTCCCAGGATGAGATGGATCTTTGAGAATGTTTTGAACTTTCTTAAGGCAGTGGGAGCTATAAAGCTCTTCCAAAGAGGGGAGAGGGCAACCAATGATCTTTTGGGCAATGATATTAACCTTCTGGAGTGCTTTCCTATCTGCCACTGTGCAATTAGCAAACCATATGGAGATGCAGTAAGTTAAGATACTGTCTATGGTGCAGCGGTAGAAGGTCACCAGCAGTTTTTCATTCAGTTGTTTTCTGAGAAGTCTCAGGTAGTATAATCTCTGCTGGGCCCTTTTGACAAGTGCTGCAATGTGAGCATCCCAGGTCAGGTTGTTTATCCCATAAAGATTAGAATTATGAAGGCAGTGGTTTTCCCTGTGAGTCTATGGATGTTAGACTTTGAAGAATAAGGATAGGGTTAATGTTTTTGAACTTTGGTGTTTGGAGAGGACTCTTGAGAATACCATAGACATCCAAGAAAAACAACAACAAAGGGATCACTGGATAAATCAACCTAGAATTCTTGCTTAAGGCTCAAATGACCAAACTCATATATTATCCTATTTTGGACACAATATGCGAAAACCTAGTTCTTGAGAAGACTATAAAGCTGGAAAAAGTGAAAGTTAGGAGAAAAAGAAGATGCCAATATCAAGATGGATAGACTCAATTATGGCAGTGAGGGGTAGGTACACAATTCGTTGGGGACAGATCTTCCTAGAAAATGACTTGCTGGCACATAATCATTGACTGGGATGGGCGGCTATAAAAATTGAATAAAGAAATAATCAGTCAAACTGTAAAGTTTGTAAGGGCCACCCTTTAAGATAGCCATGTATCAAGTTACAAAGTGCATCACTAACAGTTACTTTCTCCTTACTGCATCTTTCTCATACTCCTGTGTTTTATAACTGTTTTTCAGGTGATCCTCATAGAGCAAATAAAGGAAAGTAACTTTGCATTGTGTACATAAGAAACACACTCAGCATGTTTCCTTGTTCTACTTGCTTTTGCAAGTCTTGATCCTTAAAAAGGCCTCCTTTGTACAAGTACCATTTTCTTATTTTTAAAAATATATTTACATGAAAAATGCATTCATACATTTTAATCTCTCTCTCTCTCTCTCTCTCTCTCTCACACACACACACACACACTATCTATCTATAACTATAACTAACTGTAACTATAAGAGCCTCTGTGGTGCAGTGGTTAGAGTGCAGTACTGCAAGCTACTTCTGCAGCCAGCTGCCTACAATTTGCCAGTTCAAATCCCACCAGGCTCACACACACACACACACATACGTATATAACTATAACACAAGCACGAAGCCGCACAAGCATGAGGCTGAAAGCACCAGCCTGAAGATGGCGAGTGGGACCTTGTCGAAACGTTGCCAAGATGCTCTCAATCTTCCACGGGAAAAGATCCGAACATGCCAAGACCTGCATATAACTATATATAACTATATATAACATATAACTATAAATAAACACACACACACACACACACACAAACACACAGAGTTAATCACCCTGACAATAAAATAGCATTTAAATTTGCCAAGGAAGAAAGGCTGCAGCAGATGGTCTCTTGGTGGTCATTTGGAGTCTCTGGACTGTTATCCTTGTCTATATTAATAGATAAAAATAAAATTAAAATCTATTAAAAACCCAACAAATAGGAAACAGAATCTACATAGGGCAATAGAATAATGTAATAAATCAGTTACATGTCCTTTGTTTCGCTTTCCCTGACTCTAATCACAGCCTACACAGATGACACTATTGCAGTAACCTGGTCATAACCTGTAAACTCTAGCAACCTTTTAAATACAGATAATCCTAAGAGGTTAAATATCTTCTTCAGTGAGTGATTGGCTTGGTTTGAATAAATGTAAATGCACTCATAGGACATAATGGAAATATTAAAATCTTTAAAGCTTCCTTTAATTATAACCCAAAGAAATATATTACATATGTCAGCCCTAAGACCAGACAAGAAGCACCAACTATGAGTATTAACATTACCCTTATTATAAGGTACAGTAGTAGAATCTTGCAAGTTTGAAAATACATCTCTTCCCTCTTGCTTTTACCATCCAAGAAACTGAGGAGAATCCCTTCTGAGAAGGGATATCAGATCCGCATTCCTTCTGTGGGCTTATCTGCCTCTTATGTGTTGCCTATCTGTTGCCTAGTTCTCATTCTGCCTCCTATCCATCAAGGACATTTTCACAGTCTGTATACTATTCCTAAAAACTGGTCTGTTTTCAGTTACAGAAGAAAAGATGTATATCAATAATAGATCACTTTATTTCTTTACTGTCTCTTCTCTGATTTTTAGCCCTTTGATCATTTGAAACTTGGAATATCCAGTCGTCAACAATCCCAGCAGACCTTAGAGCAGTTTTCTTCCTTTTTGCAGGCCTTGCTTCACAGGGAGGTCAAATTAAAATTCAGGAGTGCGGATGCTATGTTCCCCTAAACATCTTGGAGGAAGAATGAGATATAAATATAATTAATAATAAAGTAGGAACATGGGAATGTCATAGCAGCGTTCCAATATCTAAGGGGTTGCCAGAAAGAAGAGGGAGTCAAGCTATTCTCCAAAGTGCCTGAGGGCAGGACAAGAAGCAATGGGTGGAAACTAATGAAGGAGAGAAGCAACCTAGAACTAAGGAGAAATTTCCTGACAGAACAATTAATCAGTGGAACGACTTGCCTCCAGAAGTTGTGAATACTCCAACACTGGAAGTTTTTAGGAAGAGATTGGGCAACTGTTTGAAATGGTATAGGGCTGTGATGGCAAACATATGGCACTTGTGCCACAGGTGGCACGCAGAGCCATTTGTGCTGATACATGAGCTGCAGGCAAACTTACCTCACTGTGCATGCATGCACTTCACAGCTGATTTTTGGCCAGTTTGAGACCTTTTTCGGCCTCCCAGAGGCTTGAGGAAGGCTTCTGCAGGCTTTCCAGGCCGAAAACTAGGCCCATTTCATCACTTCCTGTTTTTCCGGAAATACTGGAAGTGACGAAATGGGCCTAGTTTTCGGCCTGCAAAGCCTGCAGAAGCCTTCTTCAAGCCTCTGGGAGGCCGAAAATCAGCTGTGAGGTGCAGTGCAGGTAAGGGGGCAGCGGGGTGGGGTGCGGATTGCGCACGCATACATAGGAGGCATGGGAGTCGCGCATTGCCTTCTAGGTGCTGGTACGCGAGCGTGCAAGTGCGTGCACAATTTTTGGCAGAGGAGCTCAAAAAGGTTAGCCACCGCTGGTATAGGGTTTTCTACCTGAGCAAGGGGTTGGACTAGAAGACCTCCAAGGACTCTTCCAACTCTGTTATTCTGTCTTCTATTCTGTATTTATTGGTTGAGCATAAGATCATGAATTAGTGCAAATCCTGGCATTAAATTAGACCCTCAAACCTAATTTATTTGGAAAGAGAAGAGCACCCATTAGTCCACGAAAAGAGGATTGAAAAGATTAATGCAGCAGGACTTTTGAACAGAAAAATGGAATTACATTGTCAGGGTTGAGGTTATGAACTAGGAAGTCCCCAGCTGATTTTTCATCTTGGTCATGCATAGATATGCTTGACTTTAGACAAAGAGTCTTCTCCTGAGGTTTGCATTTGTAGTGTCGATACAGACATGTTTACTGTTCAGTGCAAGATAATTTGGGAGGCAAATTATCCCTTTTCTCTCTCTCTTTCTATGCCTAGGCATTAGTCAACAAGAACTTCCTTTCAGAAGAGCCATTAAAGGTAATAAGGGGCGGAAAAAACCCTTTCCCATCTTGAGAGAAGAAGAGAAACAATGAATTCATAACTGAAAAAGAAGAACGCTGTGGTTGAAACCATCATTCAAACGAACGAACAAACAAACGAAGAAGAAATAAAGCACTCTGATTCAAGATGAATTACAGAACACCCACTGTGAGCAATCTATACCTCAGTGGCACCACCAGGCCTGAGACAGACCATGGGACAATTGTTGATGAGACTGGATCAGAAACTGTTGCAATGACACCTGAACCCAGCAGCTTTATCAGCACCAAAATTCCAGATGTGGTCAGCAATGGCCCAGTTATGGAGACCATGCTGTTGTCCTTTGGCATCATTACTGTTATCGGGTTGGCGGTAGCAGTGGTAAGACTTGGGGCTATGTTTGGGAATGTAACCACCAGATTATATGCCAATTCAGCTTCACCGCTTGAGTTTAAGGCTGCCCAAAAATTCCTGTAAAAGGAATCTGGTCCTTGCTTTAACAAAGAATTGTAGTCACTTTGCAACAATTGTTAAACTAATACATGATTTAGATCAGTTCCCCCAAACTTTCTGGCTTTGTTAGACTGGCAGGGGGAGGAGAGGGTAAAAAAAAGTGGCTGGCAAGCGAGAGTGCTGGGGGAGCAGCAGGCATGCACACTGCTCACACAAATGGAGCACCTGTGCACACACTTGTCCACAGCTTGTGCAGGTGGGGATGCATGCGCGCCCACGCATTTTCGCCTGCTGCTTCTGTGGCCCAATTCTGAATGGCTCATGGCCCAGTAGTGGGCTGTAGGTTGGGGACCCCTGATTTAGATAAATAGATATAGCTGTAAACAGATGTACAGGTCATTTAAAGACTTGCTTTCATCTGTAGTCTCCTACTTGGAATTGACTTGGGGATCCCTACTCACTTCCTTGTCAATAAAATCTGTGAAAAGAGGCAGAGACTTTCTTGCAGTGGCTCCATTTTAAGAAAGGATATGCTGTGATTACAGTCTTAATTTGTAGGTGCCAGTGATTCAGTACAGCTGTTTTCATCAGTTGTTTTAGATCGTTATCATTTTATCTTGTTACTGTTGTGAGAAAGCCTATTCCAAAAGGCAGTAAAATTATGTTAAATGATTTTAGTTATTCAGTAGAATACACTTATCCTAAGATTTCAAATAGTTCCTTTACTCTCATTAAGAATAAGAACTTGGTGACAGCAGCGTTCTTCCCAGCATGCAAGTCCACTATACATATTTATATCCCAAATTAATTGCTTTAAAGCAAGCCAGTTGTATTAAATGTGGGTAAAATCCAAGTACTAGTCCCTTGTCCATCACAGAAACTCACTGGTTGACTTTGGCCAGTCATTCTTTCTCAGTCCATCCTACTTTGCAAAGTTGCTGTAGTACAGGAAGGCTGATATAAATCTAATAAATCAGTTCATATGTTTTTCCAAATCTTATTGCTTTTTTCATAGATTTGTGCACATGTATTTATTTCTTACTTTCATATTCTTTCTTTCTGTTCAAGAGCAAAAAGCAACATACGTAGCTCTTCTTCCTCTTACTTTCCCCACACAACCTTTTGAGGTGGATTGTGCTGAGAGACAATGATGGACTCAAAGCCGTGAGCTGCCATGGCTAAGGGCACGTGAGATCCAAAGCTGGGTCTAACCCCTTAACAACTAACTACACAACTTCTTCCTTTTCAAGCACACATTACAATTATTCAGTGCAAAGGCTCCCACTGAAAAAATGCTTACAACAATAATGTTTTTCTAATTTTTTTCTCCCCTAGGTTTTGTATATTCGGAAGAGGAAACGGTAAGTGTTCTGTAAATATGAGTTAAGCAGTTTCTTTATCTTTTGCTAGTGTTTGTTTTGCAGAAAGCTTCCTCTAAAATCTTCATATTTGAAAGAGCAGAGACTGTTTTTCTCTTCCCAACTTTAAAAGTAACAATGCATTGATATATGCATATGATGTAGGGCAGTAGTGGCTAACCTTTTTGGGCTCCTGTGCCAAAACTTGTGCGCGCAATTGCACACGCGCACTCATGTGCCAGTACCCAGAAGGCAATGCTCACTCCCCCACATCCCCTACACATGCACACGCAACCCCCCACCCCGCTGCCCCCTTACCTGCACTGTGCCTCACAGCTGATTTTCGGCCGGTTTGAGACTTTTTTCGGTCTCCCAAAGGCTTGAGAAAGGCTTCTGCAGACTTCTAAAAGCTTTGAAGGCCGAAATCTAGCCCCGTTTTGTCACTTCCGGTTTTTTTATTTTGGAAAAACAGGAAGTGACAAAACGGGGTTAGATTTCGGCCTACAAAGCTTGTAGTCTGCAGAAGACTTTCTCAAGCCTTTGGGAGGCCAAAAAAGGCCTCAAGCCAGCCAAAAATCAAGTGTGAGGCGTGCACATGCGCAGTGAGGTAAGTTTGCCTGCAGCTCATGTGTCGGCACAAATGGGTCTGCGTGCCACCTGTGGCATGCGTGCCATAGGTTGGCCATCACAAATATAGGGTGATTTTTGGAACCAAATCAGGAGATTTGGTTCCAAAATAGTTACTGAGTAAAACCTGGAAAGTTTAAATTTTCTCTTGGTTTGGTGCTTCATGTAGTGGAACTCTCTCTCTCTCTCTCTCTCTCTCTCTCTCTCTCTCTCTCTCATTTCCTCAATAGACTGGAAAAGTTACGACACCAGCTCATGCCCATGTACAATTTTGATCCTGCAGAAGAACAAGATGAGCTAGAGCAAGAACTGCTGGAGCATGGCAGAGATGCTGCTTCTGTTCAGGCTGCCCAAAGCAAGGTAATACATTTTCTTCCCATCAATTTCTCCTACTCTCAAATCGGGGGATTTGTGTGTGGCCCCAAAAACTGAATAGAGCTGGAAGCAGTGGTGGGATCCAAATTTTTTTACTACTGGTTCGGTAAGTGTGGTGGGGAAGGATTCTCAAAATCCCCTTTCCCTCCCCACCCCACTAACCTGATTTCCAGCTCTGTTCTCCTGTGCGGGCAACAAAAGAAGACCCAGACAATCAGCTGGGACTCGGGAGGCAGAGAATAGATAGGGGCAGGACCAGTCAGAGGTGGTATTTGCCGGTTCTCTGAACTACTCAAAATTTCCCCTTCTGGTTCTCCAGAACTGGTCAGAACCTGCTGAATACCACTGCTGGCTGGAAGGAACCTTTGAGGTCTTCTAGTCCAACCGCCTGCTCACTCAAGAGACCCTGTACAATTTGAGACAAATGGCTGTCCAGTTTCTTCTTAAAAACCTCCAGTGATGCAGCGCCGTCAACTTCTGAAGGCGAGCTGTTCCACTGATTAATTGTTTTCACTGTTAGGAAGTTTCTCTTTAATTCCAGGTTGCTTCTCTCCTTGATTAGTTTCCATCCATTATTTCTTGTCTTGCCTTCTGGTGCTTTGAAAAAAATAAGTTGGCCCCCTCTTTGTGACAGCCCCTCCAATACTGGAAATGCTGGAATACTGCTAACATGTGACCCCTAGTCCTTTCTCGACTAGACATACCCAGTTCGTGAATCCATTCTTCATATGTTTTAGCCTCCAGGACTTTAATCATACTACTGTGCTCTTTTCCATCTTTTTTGTAACGGGATGACCAAAACTGGATGCTGTATTCCCAGTGTGGTCTTACTAAGGTTTTATTTATGATGAAATTATACTTTGAAATATGATAGAAATTATTAAACACGTGACTGGAGAGTTGCCATATCTATGATTGCAATTGTTAAAATATAAATCAAATTAGATTCTAGTATTCTTTTTCCCTGACCCTTCCTTCCATTCACTTTTCAAATTCAGCCCTGTCGAATTATTTAAAGAGCAAGCATGGCCCTCAGCCTGAAAAAAATGTGCAATATTGTTTTATCAGATATATTGATTTTCAGCTTTTATAAATCCCTGCCGGTATAAGCACTGAACCATTCCCAGCAGGCTGAAATTATGAGAGTTGAAAAACTATACATCTGGAAGATTAGTTTGAGAGGATATTTGTAGGCTAGATGATGGTGAGATTCTCTCCCCTGGATTTGAAGCTATAGCTATTCTCATATTGCCAGTTTTAAAATTAAGTTCTTTTTCTAAATTAAAATATGAAATTAATCTGAATAATTGATCTCACACCTACAAACCTTGAAATGTTTGTGTTTGAAGGAACTTCTTTCATTCAGTAGATCTATTCCCCTGAGAAATGTGGAAATGTCCTACTCGTTACACACAACAATTATACTTTGAAAGGTGGATATCCTGGGAAGCTTTGGTATATTAGAACTGTTCACGGCCAGAACATGAGAGGCTTCACTGCCTAATTCTGACAGAAATGGAAAGACAGTAACAGAAAGCCAGAAGCTCAGTTAATTTCCATTGGAACATGTATGATGAACTTCCAGATGTTGCTGAACTCCAACTTCCAGGAGATCTCTCTGGTATGACCAAGCTATGAGACACTAAGAGTTGAAGGTCTGCAACATCTGCAGGACCATCCTCCAGAGAGGTCCAAAGAGCAAATATTGGAGGACTACACTTTGGAACAGAAGGTTGCCTTGAGTATCCTTGGAGTCAAAAACATCTGCCTCCCCTTATTTCTTGTGAAATGCTGTTGTGATATAAAAGGATTGAGTCCTGTTCCTATTGGTATCCTAAAAGAAGAATGGAGATAAGAGACAGATCTGCTATCTCATTAGAAAATAAACAACAGTTTATTACAATATATAATATATTAATATATAATATATAATACAGATATCAGTTTACCAGATTCTGAGACCTCCTCTATGGAGAGTCATATTAGAATCTTAATAGATCTTCTTCTGGAAATCTCTATGTAACATTCTCTCTCTCTCTCTCTCTCCCTCCCCCTCCCTCCATCCCTCCCTCTTTCTTCCTTATCCTTTGTTGTAAAGCTCCAAAACCATGAATTTAGAGCTTTATTTACAGAAAACACTCAGTTACCGATTCAGATAAATATATGAAATTTAATAGTAATCAATACACTGTTTCCACATAATACCTCTAAAACTAACCAAGATGGGCATGTTGTATCAATATAACACAACTAAGTTCTCAAATTGACTTTGTTAAGCATTTGTGGGCAACCTAGCTTCTTAACATTTGTTAGAATGATTCCTTCTTACTAAGGGAGTGAAAGATGAATTGCAAGTTGTTTTATATTACTACAGGTGGTCCTTGGGTTACAATGGCAATTGGGATACTATCTAAGTGATGTGGTTGTAAAGTGTGACCATATCATATGACCATATTGTTTGGTGATGACAATCCTGGTCATACCAGTTGCCAGCATAATCCTAGGACCATGAAGAACATTAAGCGAGGACTTCACATGACCACAATGTGGGAAGAAGCAGCAATCCCAGACAAGCAGGTGAGAGTTAGCAAGTGGGAGGGTGAATAGGACAGGTGGATGCTGCAGGGAGGAGTTAGGCATGTGGGTTGTGGGGTGGGTGCCGTGGGAAGGTGCTACAGAATGCAGGTGGGTGGATAGGTGAATGCTGTGGGCAGGTGCTACAGAGCAGACCTGCGTAAGTCCTTCTCATTTAGCATTGCTGTAACTGAACAAATGGTCATTTTATTGGTTTCCTTGTATGATTTGATTGCTTATTAGTAACCTATGACTATCACTAAGTGTTGTATCTTATGATTCTTGATGAATGCATTTTATTTTTTCTTTATGTATACTGAGAGCATATGCACCAAAGACCAATTCCTTGTGTGTCCAACCACACTTGGCCAATAAAGACTTCTCTTCTCTTCTCTTCTCTTCTCTTCTCTTCTCTTCTCTTCTCTTCTCTTCTCTTCTCTTCTCTTCTCTTCTCTTCTCTTCCTTGAGAAATATCTGTACTTACATAATGCTAAAATGCATCTTTATAAAAATATAGCATATACTTTCGTCAACAGGATTTTTATTCCCATGTTTTATTTCTTTCAATCCAGTAGTGGCATGTTTATTAATGTACAATATTTTGCAATCTTGGGAGAATCGTATGAAAATGAAATATTCATGTATTTCTTGCAACCCTGTTTTCCTCTCTCCCTCCCCATTTTTTGCTTGCCTTGTTGTAGGCAAATCAAGGCGTTCTCCAGAGACCCAGTCGTCTTGTGTTCACAGATGTTGCGAATGCCATCAGTGCATGAAGAATTCTTCCTCTACACGAGATACAGGAAGACGACACCAGCCAGTTAGCAAGCTACTCTGGGTAGTGACTATCAGTTTTCGCTGGGGGAAAGAGGCCAAGAACCAAGATTGCCTGTGCTCCTGTTGCCAAGAAACTGCCCCTTGCTGCAGAGTTTGATTGGCAATGTTGCAGGTATCAAGTAATGTATGATAGAAGACGAGAGGTTATTTATAGCTACAATGATTGGAATGAATATAGTAACAGGCTTTGGAAATAATAGCATCAATTCCTAAGGCCTTCCTTCCCTGGGATATTGACAAAGATATCTAGAGTTTGAGACTGCAGATTCAGCTAGGCCATACTATGCAGTAGACCCAAAATATGATCCTGTTGGTTTAACTCCTAGGAACCTGGAATATATGAAGTTGTCAACATATATCAGTGTCATCTCATCTCATGTTCTCTGGTGCAGTAAAAGCTGCCCTTCAGTATAATCATAAGAGTTAGCTGCTGTCTTTCCATTAGATTTCTACAATGTAAGGTGTTCTACTAGCTGGTTTTTTGAGGAGGGATAACTTGGAATAAAGGCACTGCTAAATAGTAACCTCTGTGTCTTATAGAGGCTGGTAAACCTCACAGGGCATAAGGATCTCCTCTTCTAATACTAATTCTTGCTATAGGGGAAGAATCTTAGAAATAAGAACAGTGAAACTAACTTGTAAATCCCGAGATGATTCACTCCAGTCAGCATTGGCTGAAATGAATTTTTTTTAAAAAAAAAAATGAAAGGAAATCTTATTTGGAAAAATAGTGTTACATATGCATGTTCTTGCATATATTAAATAATCCGAAATCCCCACATCTCCATATTGAATGGGCTAATAACTCATTTGAAGTCCATTGGAAAGTCTCAACACTTTTTAACCTTGGCAAGAAGAGCAGTTCTAAATGGAGGAAATAACACACTTATTTTACAATTTAAGGGAAAAATGCATCTGCCTACCTAGCTTATTTGTTTATTAGATAAACTGGGATACCATCCCTATGGTTAAGATCATTTATTTTGCTTATCCGATTTGCAGCTGGGTAGAATGTTGAGTTACTTTATTTATTAAGCTAATTTATTTTCTTCTCGTCACTAAAACTGATTATTTATTTATTTATTTTATTTATTTGAGTTCAGTAGCTGTCCAGCTCAACAGGTGATTCTGGGCAGCATACCATTTATTCACAAGAGATTTGAGCACAGAATTTGGATTTTGTTTTGTTCCAGTTTGGAAATGGAAGAAGGGGGAGTTGGAAATTGGAGGCAAGGAAGAAAGGCCAGCAAACGATAATTGAACAGATGCCAAGAAGTCTGTGCTAAGCAAAGGCCTTTGTTAAAAAAAAGCTTTGCATTTTTTATGGATTAGCGAAAACAATTGGGAACAAGTTTCATTTACATTCATCTAAACCCTAGTGATGGCATAGATCCTCAGGAATCTGCAAGAGCAGCCAGTCTCTGTGTTATATTTTGCTTTGTGGCATGATGGTGACTCTGCCTGCTTCTGAACCTGCCTCTAATATTTATGTTTACATTGGATTTCTATCCTGTCTTTCTATTGCTTTGTCCAGGAAGGCAAACAAAAGAGCCACTACAATAAAGGGCTACAACAAATCAATAAAAGGGGGGGGGGGGGGGGAAAGCAAGCTAGGGCACACAAGAAATCACTGTGGAGAAAATAATTCCTGATGAAAAATTGGACGGCTGGATGAACAGTTACAGCCTAATTATGTGTTCAGTGTACAAAGAAAAATACAACATTTCAGATCTAGCAAGTCAACTTCCCTTCCTGTTAATCATTCCTGCTGTGAAAACTAATGTTAAATACCTGTGCATGTTTATCTATTGTAGTTTTGGTGAAAAGGAGAGTCGGGGGAGCTCGTTCCCGCTCTCCTCCTTGCAAAGAATCGGATCACAGATGCTTTGGAGTATCTTGTCTTTCAGAGCCAGGGCAGGGGTTATATGCGTGATATAAAGCCACTTGCTTTGGCAGTTGCTAAAAGAAACCACCTGGTGAAGAATCTGTAAGGATAACAGGCCACAATAATGGGTTCCAGCTACAAGAGGTAAATGAAAAACAGTCTGAAGACGAGTGTTTGTGGGCACTCACATCCTTTCCAACAAATTTTGGAACCCAACCACAACCCCCTGGCCGAATGCTTACATTTGTCAGCTGTTAATCAAGGCAGAAGAAAGTGCAGATTAAGTACAAATAGGATTTCATGCGATGATGCAATATGTCTGTGTGTCTCTGTATGTTTTGCTGGCTGTTCTTTTTCGTGTTCTCAAGATAGTAAACTATCTGCCATCTCTTTTCAAAAGGAACATTTTTGAAATGTTTCTCAATCCCGTTCTTCCCTGAATTGTGTGGGAAACTGTAAATCACACAGGACCAGATCTGTATGATGTATGCATAACTTTTGGCTGTCACACCAATGAGTTAATAGCATGATATATGTGGTGCGGGTATCTCTATATATCAATGCTATTACTGTCCTGTCACCTAATTTTTTTTTCCTGTGCATGCATTTTGACAGAAGTGATTTTCTCTGCAACCATAGAGCAGTTATGTAGCCATTTATTGTACTGTACATGTGGATGGCTGTGTTAATACAGTGATTAACTCCACAAAATATACCTCTTAACTAAGTTAGCTCCTCCCCATCCCCCAGGCCTCATGCCCTTGAAAGATAGTGATCACACCTAAGAAGGAGGGTGTGATAAAACCTTCCTTAGCCAAAACGAGTTCTTTAGAGCAGGGGTCCCCAACCACCGGGCCGCGGACCGGTACCGGGCCGTGGAGCACTCTTTACCGGGCCGCAAAGAAAAAAAAATTAAAAAAAATGGCGGCTTTCTTCGCCTTCGGTGAATGCTGCTGGGATCGGGGATCAAGGACACAAATGAAAGAAGGGGAGGGAGGAAGCAACCGAAGCCTGTCCTGCTCTCTGGCTCAGCGGCTTCGGTTTCCTCCCGCCTCGTTCCTCTCTCAGTCGCTCTCTCGCTCCTCCACCAGCCCAGGAAGAAACTGCTTCAAAGAAGCTGGGGTGGGGTGGGGTGGCTTTTCCTGTCGCCGCAGCTTCCCCGAAGCGCCCATTTCACCCCCACCCCGCCCGCCCGCTCGCTCGCGGTTCAATCCACAGTGCTCCGTTCTGCCTGCCTGCCTGTCTGGTTGTTTGGGAGCAGCTTCGGCTGAGAATAATAACTATTCGCCTCTTTTTATCAGCCGAAGCTGCTCCGAAACGAAGAAGGCAGGCAGGCAGGCAGAACGGAGCACTGTGGATTGAACCGCGAGCGGGCGGGCGGGCGGGGTGGGGGTGAAACGGGC